CAGGTGGGCACCCAGACCAGATGATGTGTCTCCTTCTTGTCTGAAAGTCTGTGCTCACCAGCTGGCTCCGATCCTCACACAGCTCTTCAACAGATCACTCGAGCTGTGTCAAGTCTCCTCCTGCTTCAATCACTCCACCATTAACCTGGTCCCAAGGAAACCTACCCAAACAGGACTAAATGGCTACAGGCCTGTTACCTTGACCTCTGTCGTCATGAAATGTTTTGAGAGACTGGTGTTGGCCCACCTGACGGACATCACAGGACCCCTGCTGGACCCCCTGCAGTTTGCCTACCCGGCAAACAGGTCAGGGCTTATGGGGTCAACATGGGACTGCACTACATCCTGCAACATCCCGACTCCTCAGGGACATATGTAAGGATCCTGTTTGTGGACTTTACCTCAGCATTCAACACCATCATCCCAGACATCGTTCACACCCAAACTGACAATCAGCTGACTGGACCTCCACTTGTCAGTGGATCACTGGGGTGTAACGCCTCACAAAATTCATGGTTTGGTTCCATTCAATACAGTGGTGTCACAGTTCAGTATATTTATGATACAGCAAAAATAGAAACACCAGAGAAATTTCCTGGATGAATGAATAAACATCTTTGTGAAATGCCACAGTCATATCAACACAAGCAAAATAGCCATCACCCTAAGGTACCTTCCAGTATTTCTGGTCGAATCGGCTATGCGGCCCGCCAGCATTTACTGCTCACTGCTGTGGGTGAGGTGCTTTGTGCTAACCTTAGCTGCTATTAGCTGGCAAACAAGAGGCAATAGCCACACAGCGGCTCGTTCCTCAGGTCAGGGATCATGTACGTTACTGGGCTATTGTGTTAGCTGCTAAGGAGAGTCTTCAGCTGCGCGGCGGCTTGTTCTTCGGCTCGCTGTGTTGTCATCCACCACTCTCTGTCTCCATCATCCTTCATAATTAACAATGAAACCAAAGTGGCTACAAACAGCAGAACTGTAGGTTATCAGACAATCTTCTATTTTTGGTCTGGTAATGGTGTTACTAACCATCTTGTAATGAGCTAGCTTAACATAGCTGCCTCCCAGTGTCTTTCACTGGAGTAGAATGTTCTGGTTTGGCGAAGGGAGGGGCAGACAGCATGTTGCCTGTTCCATCCTGTGGGCTGCTTTGTTGAGTGCAGTGACACTGAGAACATTAAATCAAACACAGTTTAAGCTGTATATTTTGTTTTAAATGTAATAGGATAGTTAATTGTATAGTTCAGTTTGCAGTGTGTACCAAACTGATAGCCTCGTACCAAACAGTTCAATATGAATATTTGTACTGTTACACTCCCAGTGAGCACTGGTGTCCCTCAGGGATGTGTGTTTTCCCCACTGCTCTTCTCCTTCTACACTAGCGATGGCACCTCAGGAGATTTGTCACCTAAACTCAAAAAATATGCAGACGACACAACAGTCATCAGCCTCATCAGGGATGATGAGTCTGCATACAGACAGAAGGTTGGACAGCTGACCCTCTGGTGTGGTCAGAACAACCTAGAGCTGAACACTGTTAAAACTGTGGACATTACAATGGACTTTGAGATGAGCCCTCTAACACTGACCCCACCCCTAGCCCCCCACTGTACTCAGCAACACTGGAAGCCATCAGGTTCTGGGATCCACCATCTCCCAGGGACTCTAGTGGATGTTCAACATTGATGCCATCACGAAAAAGACTTAGTAGAGGATGTGATTCCTGCACCAGTTCTACACTGCAGTATTCAGTGTTATTTAAATCATGGACAGGGACAGACTACAATGCACTGTCAGGTCTGCAAAAGGAATTACTGGTACCAGCCTGCCCTCCATCCAGGACTTCTACACCTTCAGATTCAGAAAGCCCACAGGTAACATCACTGCAGACCATCACACCCTGAACACAACCTGCTCCACCCTCTCCCCTCTGGGAGGTGCTACAGAACACTGTACATCAAAAAAACAGACACAACAAGGCTGTCACTATGATTAACACTTAGCACCAGTCCATAGTGTCAGGAACACTCCCTGTGCAATAGCCCTATAACCCTTTAACACCAAACACCCACCCTTTAAATTCCATATTGTCAAAGTTTAACTTAACACTGTAAACTTGTGAATATCTGTCAAACATAGTCCAAGCATGCTGTATATGATGTTTGTACTGCCATATCCACCTACCACCTACCTGTACATAAGGCAATGTTACATCTGTCCTTCCATATTTATTCCAGCACCATTTGCACTTTGTACCTTTGCACTATTGTGCAACTGTTTTACATTACATAAACGGTAAATGGACCTGCATTTGTACAGCACCTTTCTAGTCATCCGACCACTCAAAGCATATTTTACACCACATGTCACATTCACCCATTCACACACACATTCATACACCGGTGGCCGAGGCTACCATTAAGGTGCCACCTGCTACTCGGTTTTTAACACACTCGCACACCGATGGAAGCATCATCAGGACCAATTTGGGGTTCAGTATCTTGCTCAAGGATTGGTGGATGACCCGTTCTACCTCTGAGCCACAGCCACCCCACATACATGGTGTTGTAGATGTTTCTATAGTAGTCAAATGTTTATAGGAGTAAAGTGTTTGTGTTTACCTAGTCCAGCTTTATTGTTCTTGTTTTCAGCTGTATGTCTATTTTGTATATGAACGTTGAAAGTAAAGTAAGACCAGAGTCAAATTCCTTCTATATATTTACATATACTTGGCCAATAAAGCTGATTTTGGTTCCTCTGATTGCCAAATTTCCTTTCTAGCATTAAGCCCTGAAGGCACATTTCTCCCAACAGTGCTTCTACTGCTAGCTCACCTAGCACCACTGAGCTTCCTTCTGCACCGTAATGAAATTGGTGGGTGTAGTTTGGCAAAAAGAAAATAATTCCTACATGAAATTGTTTTTTTTTTTCATGAAAGTTTTTGGGTTTTTTTTGCGCTTCGGGCACGACAAGCTGAGTGCCACCTAGCTCTATTGTATTGGAGGGAAGGCAGGCATCTTTAATGCAGATATCTCCATCAATGGGCAACTAACACCAAAACAATCTACAGTGGATTGATTAGCAGTACTACAGGTGAGAGTTCAAATATGTATTTTTGATTTTGGATGAACTGTCCCTTTAAAACAGCCTCCTCTATGTGAGAACACCTGATCAGTGGCCAACAAGCAAATCTAAGACCCCTGATTTAGCTTAACTATCAGAACAGTTGCTATTGTTGCTGCAGTCTGTGCATGACATTAGAGAAAACAGATTTATTGTGCAAGTCCAACCAAAAATGGACTTTTACTCCTGCATGTATACAGTCAATCGAACCCAAACAGATAAAGAAGCTGATAACAACATGGGGAAATCTACATCCAGAGCTGTGGTTTTTTTTAGACAGACAAGGAAACAGAGTTCATACTGTGTCAGCTGAAAGAGTTAAATATTTTTAAATACATGGATGGGAGGAAAACAGGGAATGGCGACCTAATCAACAAAGGGGTGGAACAGCTGGATGACGCTCGATTGTTTGGTCTGTGACGTAATAGGTCAACCAGAAAAAGGTCCAATACTGAAAAGCTGAAAGGGGGCATATCACCACCTATCGGAGTAGTAGAGTCAGACAAACTTCAGTCAATAAACCGATTCGATTCCTCTCCCGTGCTTGTATACTGGGACAAGGATTGTAGTCCAGTTTAATGGACTACTCGAGCTATAACTGTAGCTCGATCTAACTGTGCATGTAAACACACTGAGTATCATCATGGCAAATTCATGTAGAACAAACACCTGTGTCAGAGGAGTGAGGAATCAAATCAATTGTAGTTGGTAATAAAAGCAGATAAAACATGTTTGGAAGGTATTATGGGCATTAGTCCACAGCACTGCTTTCATCAGTACAACAGTCATGTCATACTCACTAACAGGTTGAATGATATTACATTATGTTACATGTTTTACATTAATGTTATAATACATGACACTAAATTAATCATCGTAAAATAGGTAGATCAAATCAGCACACAATAGCCCTGTCTATGGTGTTCAATTGAAACAGTTGTATGTTCAGAACACAATTAGTTCTAATTGATCAGTGTGTTAGATCACCTGAAAGCTCTCTGTTATATTACTGCTGCTTCTCAAAGGGTCCCATCGTCCAAACCAAAAAAACATTTTCCCAAACTAGAAGTGCTCCATATCAAAGTGTATTCTGTGGATCATCCAAACTAATTGTGGACACCATGTGCAGAAGATAATCAAACAATAAATTAATCCTGCAAACAATTCTTATGTGTGCATCCAACGCCTAATCTATCTTATTTCTTCGTGCCAGAGCTCCACTGTGAAAAAAACATTAAATATACATCAGTAAGCCCACATCCACATGAATGTTTCCTGACATGCGCACTCTAACACCAAATGTGTTTTCATCTGCCACTGAAAATAGACCCCATCAAATTTCTTCCTGTTTGAATAATGCTAGATAAAGACTAGAGTGTCCATCTGTACTATCGAAGTACTGACCTTTTTTGACAAATGAAACTATGTGAGAAGTTTTTGAATGACATCTTCAGTTGGATCGAATAGGCTTGGAGCTGACAGCCACAGACAGGATAGGGAAATCAGAGGGTATTAAGAGACAGACTAATTGTTGGTTTGGGTCTTTTTATGGAATTTGTTGACAACTAGTAAAACATAGAATAACATAAGCTACCTTCAAGCATCACAACCTGAAGTGCATCACCATCATCATATTGGGGTGTCTAAAATCACAGAGAGTGATACCTGAAAACCTGATGAATGAAACCATCTGCATTAGTACACATCACTTTTGGTATTAGAGAAAACAATGTTTCTCTACATTCTGACAAACTCACTCTTTACAGCTCATATACAACAAACAGCTCTGGTGTCTCTCATGTTTCTGATGACACAAATATACACAATTTACCCATTCTCACACAAAATTATGTTGGTTCTCCTCCTGGTTGTACCTGTGTTCTGCTTCTGCAATGTTGGACCCCCATCAGTCTCAGCAGCCCCACTCATCAACAGGGCAGTCCTCCTCTGCTTCTTGGTCCTTCTGTGTTTCACTTCATCTGGTCTTTTTGTGTGTGTGTGTGTGTGTGTGTGTGTGTGTGTGTGTGAGGAAGAGAGAGAGACAAAGAGAGAGACAGAGAGTATTGGTCTGTGTGTGTGCGCTCTACTGGAAGGCCAGCAGAAACATGAGCACCACATTGATGATGATGAGCAGCATCATGATGAGGAACACCACCACTTTCTGGGTCTCTGGGGGGAGGTTGCAGCGCAGCATAGTGTTGAAGAATCCCAACCTCTGCCTGCTCCACCTTCCTGAGCCGCTGCCGCGAGCCATCAGTCCCCTGGCTTCCTCCTCTTCCTCCTCCTCAGCACCGCTGCCCCTCCCCCGTCGTCTTTCCCTCAGCGCCGAGCCTCCACACCACACCGCGTCACCTCGTCCTCCTCCTCGGCTATCTCCGTCGTTGTCCTCTAGTACTGCTCTCCTCCTCCGCTCTGCCCCAGCGGTTGCCTCCTCTGCTTCACCTGCCACTTTGCCAATGCCCAGCGTTGCCCCGGCCTGCCAGTGGAGGCTGGGTGCCTATCTGTGTCAGCGTGTGTGTGAAGCTGCGCGCTGTGAGGCTTCTTGTGTTTTACGTGCTGAGCACCCCAGCCTCCCCTCCCCAAACCCCCGTCCTCCTTTACTCCTTTTCTCCTCTTTGAGGAACAGGCACCTCCCCTCTCTTTCTACTTTCGATCTTCCACCACTCTAGTTTTTTTTCCCTTTGGTTCCTCCTCTCCGTGTCTTAGTCAGGATGTCAGAATAAAAGGCAGAGAATGGGATGCTGCATCTCTGTTGTTCGTGCTCATGCCTCCTTGTCTTTTCCTTCCTCCCCTTTTATCCCTCTGTCCCCTTGTTTTCCGGCCCGCTCTCCTCTCACGCTTACCTACATATACTCAGTCATTTTTACCTCTCAAACCAACTGGCCATCTGTTCTTCCTCTGGTTTGTTTTTTTCCTCCTCTATCACTCCGTCTCAGCCCACGTTTTCCCCGCTCAGAGCTCCTGCTAAAATGGTGCTCGCTGCTCTGCCTGGAGCTGTGCTGCTTCAGCCATCCATCTAAGCATCAGAATCACCCTCTTTTATTTTTTTCCTTTCCTTCCCTTCCTTTTTTGTGTGCCCACCCTTGCATAGCTGGCAGCCAATCAGGATGCAGAGTGTGTCACCGTATCCTGGATACCAGAGTAGTTGAGGCAGGGCCATAGCAACCCCTGGGTGGGTGGGGGATTGGAGTGTTTGAATGAGAGGAACAGAGGGTGGAGGCCATGCAGAATAATGGACGGATGTCAAGATAAATGGATTGTGTGCATTTGTGTGCATGCATTTGCAGTGCTTTATGGTTGAGTGCTGTTTGCTGCATTCACATACTGTTCATTTGAACTGATCTAGCAAGGAAATAGCAGATTGATATGAAATCTGGCAATAGTCTCAGAAGAAAAATCTAATTACAAAGTAATTTATACATAAGATAAGATAAGAGATTAGAGAGAGGTGCAGTACTGTACTTAGAGGGAGAAAACTGTTGCTTCTAACCTGCGGTGCAAAACAAAGAGAATGAATGATGCAACATTCAGTGGGAGTGAAGGAACCATTCAGACAAACAACAACATACAAAACAATGTACAAACATGCAGTGCATGGCTCTGTGCTTGTCATGTTGAGCTGGGGGACAACAGAGTGTGGAGCAGTCTGACAGTCTGGGGGGAAAGGCCTTTGCTGAGTCTGGAGGATCTTGCCTGGAAGCTCTGATACCTTTTTTCAGACAGCAGAATGAGGGTTCTATGGGAGGGGTCCTTTATGATCTAAGTAGCACTTTATTGATCCCTTACTGGGGAAATGCAATTTTTAAAATTTGTTATTATTCATTACACACACACACACACACACACACACACACACACGTGCCTGGAGTCTTTCTGATGGGTGTGTTATTCATGGCTACCAAGGGTGCATTGAGGTCAGTGCCTCAACAGTGTCAACAGTGATGGCCTACAAGCCCTGCATCCTGCACGTGTTGTTTTTGTTAGCTCCATATTGTCTGTGCATATGTATATGCCATCTCCCTGGATTCAAGGCACTACCATGGGTTTTTAGCCAACATATTCTCACTCCGACGTTGTCACATATGGACATTTAGTCATGGACTTTCCCATGGGCGTAGCGGACGCAGGGTACATGTGGGACATGTCCCCTGCACTTCCTGTATCTGTGCCCTTCATCCCCCACACTTTTTACAGCTGTTCCATTGTTCAATTTGTTTTTAATATGTGGTAACGTGTTTTCTGAGCCCTCTTTAAATGTTTTGTTGTTAAATATCTTATTTTTTTAATCTTTATTGCTACAATAGAAAGAGCAGGGTCAGGGAGGAGACAGTGGAGCAGAGGCCAGCAAGGATGATCATGCAGGGTCTTCATAGGTGAGGAGAGATTATAACTGGCCGAGAAAAAATATCTATAGCATAAAAGTGACTTTGAGGTTAAGTTCCACAGCAATTTCACTACTTTTATTCCTAATTCTATTTCAAAATTTTGCTTTCCTCATTTTTTTTAACCTTTATTGCCACAATAGAAGAGCAGGGTCAGGGAGGAGACAGTGGACCAGAGGCCAGCAAGGATGATCATGCAGGGTCTTCACAGGTGAGAAGGTGATTTAACTGGCTGAGAAAAAATATCTAGAGCATAAAAGTGCCTTTGCGGTCAATTTCCACAGCTATGTCACCACTACTATTCCTAATCCTATTATAAATTTTACTTTGCACATTTATTATCTATATCACTGCAATAGATAGAAGAGGGACAGGGAGAAACCAGGCAGGTATGAGTACAGGGACCTGACAGCAACACCAATTATCAGCCCAAGGCTTCACGGGTAAGGAGAAATTATAACTGGCTAAGGAAATGTCTATAGGATAAGAGTGACGCTAAGATTAATTTTCACAGCTATTTCAGAACTACTTTTATTTATACTCTAAAATGTTTTTGTCTGTATTGCAATAGGTAGCACAGGGAGAAGGCTTAAAAATATTTGATTAATTTTGCACATCTGTGCTGTCATATTTGACTAAAATGTAAAATACATCTTGATGTTGATATGTTTAGTGTTGTGTCACTTTCTGTCTTCATGCCATTAAATTAAATTATGTGGCTTATTACCCTGTTACCTTGTCACTTCCATTCCATTTTGTGTGCTAATAACTTGCTAAAAGGAATGGTGTTTTACTGAACTTTACGTGTTCAGTGTTGTCATTTGGCACTTAGTTATCTGGCTACTTACCCTGTAGATGCTCGAGGGTCATTCCGTGTCAACTCAACCCAGAGGCGGTCCTGGCTAGTTTTACGCCCTGGGCGAACCATCCCTCGGCGCCCAAGTAAAGAACAGTCCCTCCATAAGTAAAGAACAGTCCCTAAAGTGCAGTGAGGTTTGTGGGCCGTTACCTGCCACAAAGAGAGAAATGTGAACGGCTTGTTTCTCCTCTGACACGCCTAGGGTTGGGATCTGGATCCGGTTCTTTTTTGGAACTGGGTCCAAAGTTTCGGTTCCGGAACCGGTTCCATCACATTTGGAGTAACGGTTCCTGCAAACGGTTCCTAGATTGTTAAAAAAAAAAAAAAAAAAAAAAACGTCACGTGCATTTCCATTAGAGTGCGGCACTGGCCGCATATTTCTGTCCGAACCTGACCGAGCCAAACATTATTTAATTACTAAAGCACTGAGTTTGTGTCACACAGTAGTTATGGTTACAGGCTTTAACAGGCCAGGTGTGTGCCGTGGGTGCTCAGCGGAGAGGAAAACCTCCGTGTTTGAGATGGGAGCGGGTGGCAGGAGGTCCACTTCCAGCGAGAGGAGAGGGAGAAATATAACAAAATAAGATAAATTAGGAGAAACCTGTCTCCCTCTTTTATTTTATTTTCAGCATTTAATCAAGGCGGAGGCGGGCGGCGGGAGGTCTGAGACTTCCAGCGAGGGGAGCGGTAGAAACAAACAGCCAATGTGTGTGTGTGTGTTCTGTTCAGGTGTTGTCACGTAACTAACAGTGGCCAAGCATTAATGCATATAAGTATTTTTTATTACATTGCTGTGGTTAATTTGAGGTAATAGTGTTACTGTAGAAATCAGAGAATCACTTTTTGTTGTTATATATTCTCAGGGAGGTGATACAAGCTCTAAATCTGAAATACACACCACACACAAATGTGTATTTTCATCTAATTGTACTGTGCAACAGTTAGAATAAAGTTTTTGTATTTGTATGATTGCATTTGTGTTTATTATATACTTGTTTAAGTATAGCAAGTATAATGAATATAATGTGGGAATCGGTAAGGAATCGGAATCGGTAAAATCCTAACGAGTCCCAACCCTAGACACGCCACATACCTGTGTGCCGCCACGGCTCGGTTGTCCAGGTACTACTGGGCAGTCATGACACCAACAAAAGAGGAAATTACTGGACCTGGAGTCGGACTTCTCTGTCGCCGGTAAGCCGTTATCTTGCGCCGCAGAGCACTATGAGCCTCCGGCGTATTCCTGTCTGTGACCCCTGTTCAACCCACAACCGCCAGGATTCGCCTTTCTTTTCTGCTGCTGGTTGAAACGTGATAATAGGGGCGCCCCAGCGCCCGCTCTATGAACTTGACGTGGAAATGAGCGGAAGTCTAGAAAACTTTTTTTTTTTCTTTTGTTTTTTTTGGAGGGCGCTCGTCCGCCCTCACAGAGATTGCACCCTGGGCGGTCGCCCACATTGCCCATAGCAAAAACCGTCCCTGACTTAACCAGAGTTTGGCAGCTAAAACTTTAGACTTTGATAGTATATCATTTTAAAGAACTAAAGTTGGTCCCCTGGTGCTGTACTGTGGCTGTGTTCTCTTTAGCCGCTAAGGAGAGGTGCAACTGAATGCGAGAGGATGATAAATCACTCAGTAGACCTCTGAACAATTTGTCACCCTCACTTCTGAAATGATGGCTACGCCCCTGGACTTTCCACGTCAACATAGCAATCAGTCAATCAATCAATCAATCAATCAATCAAACTTTATTTATAAAGCACTTTTCATACAAACAGAATGCAACACAAAGAACGCAATAAAAGCANNNNCACACACACACACACACACATAAATTCAGAGACTGTAATGGTAAGGACTAAACAGTAGCGGACTATTATAACAGCACTCATAAAAACTGTAACTGAGGAAGATCTGTCAATAAATAGGTCAATAAATAAGTTAAAAATAAATAAGTAACGAAACAGAACAATCTGCCAGCTAAGTAAAAATGAAAGCAGATTAATAAAAATAAATAAATAAACAATAATCATAAATATTATTAAATTTAAAAAATAAAATGAAAAACAAACAAACAACAACATAGTACAGCGGATAAGCTCTCAAATTATGAGGAATTGTGCACTTTTTGAAAAAAGCATGAAATTTCTACCATAGGTAGTACATACCATAAGGTTTATTTTCAGATGTGGAGGGAAGTCAGATTTGACCTCTGAGGCCCCGGAGAGGTCAAATTCAAGATGGCCACCAATAATATTTAAATATGCGTAACTTTGGAACCAAACACAATAGAAAAGACATTTAAGGTGTCATTTCCAACTAAGTTTAGGGTGCCCACTCAGTTAGTGATACTTTTGAGATCAATGGAATTCAAGAAAATGCATTTAGGTCAAGGTCAAGGTAAAAAATTGCTTAAAAAAACCAAAACATTTTCCCCTCTTTTTTTAAATTTTTTTTAATGAACCCCAAAACATATTTCAATTACTTTTTACTCTCATGTATTATTCAGTAATTAGTTATCATTTACTGGGATGTGTGGTTATTTTTTCCTGCTAAGCACATCATTATCAGCAGATGGCCCTCTAGAGCATCAGTAGCTAATGCCATGTAGTCAGTAGGCAACATGATGAGTAGGCTACAGTATGCACAAGTGACGAGACAGAGAGCGGACATAAATATCCTACCAGGTAAACTGACTGACTATGTACAGACAATGGCCATGTTTCCCAGTTAAGAGTGATCTTAAGACTTAAGAGCACAGTTAAGAATGTCTTTGGTAAGAAGGGTTGCTAAGATACGAGTGTTTCCCAGATGCGTTCTTAATGCCCTTCTTACGATCTTAAGATCGCTCTTTAAGAAGCTCTTAACAGGAGCTGGCCACTACCGCAGTGC